AAGCAGGTGGCTATCATCAAACGTTTGTAACTAAAGTTGCCGGCCACAATGCCCACGTTTTCGTGCGCACTGTTTTAGCCTCAATTTACGCCGTCACCCGAAAGCGTCACAAAAAACGGAAGAAATCACGAAAAATATTTTCGAAATACCGTACCCCTTATAAGCCACGCCCCTTTTTGATCTAGACCCGCCTCTTTTTAGATAAACTCCGCCCCTTTCAACAGATGCACACTCACTCGCCAGCCAGTTTGAACTCGGAATGATAGTGAAATATGCGTGGGAGGACAAACCCTCCCCCCAAGCGCCTCTCTCGTATCTACCTCCTCCATTTCTCTGACTCTCTCAAATTATACCTACAAATCGACACTCCCTATTCTTTCTTAGCGTCTCTAATTTTATGTTCTGCTGTCGTTTTTATTCTCTGCCCTCTCTAAGATCACTGTACTCTNAATATTCCTGCTACCAGCCGGCTGTCTGTAAATACCACCCGCCCATGCATCTCCACCCTTTACTTTCTATCTCATAATCTCTCTCTCTGCACTGATCTTTTTCTCTGAATCTCTCTCCACTCAACATACATCCAATCACCACAATTACTGTTTATGCACCTGCTCTGCTCGTTTTCGCGCTACTTTATTGTCTAATCACTCATAAAATCCCACGATCCCTCAACTTCACTATCCTTGTTCACTTCTCTGCTCCCGTTCACAATTCCACGTCTGCCCTTCCCGTGCACTCTTTTCCCATTAGCCAATCTCATTTCCCATCTGTCTGACTTACCCACAATCCAGAGTTCCCTCTTCTTGCCCTGCCACCACTCAAGCAAATTCTCTAAGTCAGCCAGCCTCTCTCGCTCACCACCGTCAAATCTCAAATAATCCACTCTCTCCGAAATCTCATCTCGTCACTTTCCTCACCTCCTCATTTCCCTATCCATGCCTATCTCCAAATCCAATATCCCTTACAAATCCCATCTCATTAATACCAAATACGTCTTATGCCACACCGCCCTATCCAATATCGCGTCATTCCAATAACATTGTTTCATTTTTTTGAAAAAAAAAACCAATCACAACAAAAAATTTCTCAATTAATTTTTTTCAAAATTCACATGTTTGCCACATCCATCTACACTATAACAACCACACTAACATTATCACTACAACGCTCGTTGCGGGAAACAACCCGATTTCAGCCAATCCAACGGCACGGCCTGCCTACCCCCTCTTCTCCTCAGATCTTGACTCTTAAATCTCCTCCTGGCCCTTAAATCTTCCAAAATCGGCTGTTGTTTGGCTTGGCCTGGCCTGGCCTGCTCTACCCCCTCCTAAATCTATTGTTTTTCCTTCTGGCCTATCCTGCCCTTCCTAGATTTGCTCTGTTGTTCCTTCCCAGACTGTCTGGCCGGTCTCTAAAATTCGCTGTCCAGCCTCGCCTACCTACCTACCCCTTTCTAAGTCTACGGCTCCTAAAGCCCACTCCAAGCCAGCCAGTCTTTAAAGGCCGCACCAGTTAAGCCTATCCTTCCTTATCCAATCATACGAATCCAACCGCATCCCATCCCACCCCATCCCATCCCATTTCTTTCAACTACTTTCATAAGCGGCAGCCGCAGCAACAGCAGCACTATATCGTCACTCCGCTCTATTCCACCACATCATACCGCTCTGCTATGCTCCTCTCCACTCTCCCCAATCCACTATACTTCTCACACCCTCTCCGTTCTCCCCCTACCATTACTATCTCGTCTGCTACGTGATCAACGCAGATCACTCTAGATAACTGCCTGCAACTAGGCTGCTCTGCTCTATTCTGACATCTTACGAGAGCAACAAAATTTTCTGTCTTATTCAGTCATCCATACTCTTATTCTATTTGCATGAAGCCAAGTCAATGCGCAAGCAATGAGGAGTGCTTCGCTCAAATCGAATCAAATCCCAACGCTACTGAAGTGATCACATTCGCAAGATATCCTGATCATATCCTGAAGTGATCGCAATCGCAACATCCTGACCTGATCACATTCGCAATATCCTGAACTGATCACATTCACAATATCCTGACCTGATTACAATCGCAATATCCTGACCTGATCACTGATCACATTCGCACCGGATAACATCCAACAAATTCAGCGGATTTGAATCAGTCAAGACCGTAATTCTTGAAAGATCCACTAAAACTCAGCCAACCATTCAATACCATGCTTCCTTATGTCCCTTTACTCTTCGAGTTTTTGCCATTTGTACGATTTATATCTACGACAATTTTTATCTTGCCTACGACAATCTACGCTTATCATCGTGAACACTGTATATCATCACCATTATCTTAACTCGTTATCACTGTCTTATCACAATAATTTTATCACCTTATCACTAAATTATCACTAACCCCGCATTCTAGTCAAATCACCACTATTATCACCATTATCTTAACTCGTTATCACTAACTATCATAATAAACTTATCACTAACCCCGCATCCTTATCATTATCAGCATTATATTCACTTATCACTGTCTTATCACGCTATCAAAAAATTATCACCCTTCAATCCATCGCCTCCTGATGTCACAAAATTTCGTTATCACGTTATCAGCCCTCAAATTGCCAATTGCTAATATCACTAATGTTGTTATCACCGCGTTATCAC